AGGAAGAGAATGCTTGTGGATGTGGTGCCAATCAAGCAGGGTGCTTTGTCCTGGATGGTGTCAAGCTTCTTGAGCGTTGTTGGGGCTGCACTCATCCAGGCAAGTGGGGAGTATTCCATCACACTCCTGACTTGTGCCTTGTAGATGGTGGGCAGGCTTTGAGGAGTCAGGAGATGAGTTACTTGCCGCAGTATTCCCAGCTTCTGGCCTGCTCTTGTAGCCACTCTGTTAATGTGGTGAGTGCAGTTGAGTTTCTTGTCAATGGTAACCCCCAGGATATTGATATTGGGTTATTCAGTGATGGTAACACCATTGATTGTCAAGGGCGGTGGTTAGATTGTCTCTTATTGGTGATGGTCATAGCCTGGGGTTTGTGTGGCGTGAATTCCACTTGCCATAATATCAAGGGGAAGACGATATCCAGGAAAAGATTAGGGCTAATTCGGGACTGAGAGGGCGATCTGTGCATGGCGCTGGAGGACATTGGTAAGGTATTAAATGAGTACTTCACTTCTGTCTTTACTTGGGAGAAGGTGATTTGGTATGAATTCAGGGAAGGATTGCAAAGTTCTTGAGCAGATGGACATTGCGACTGATGAGGTATTAGGGGGTAGTAGTAAGCTTAAAAGTGGATTTATCCACAGTTCCAGATGAGTTGTCTTCCAGGCTGCCTTGGGAGGTGAGGGAGGAAATTGTAGGAAATCTGATCCAAAGGGGAGGTTCCAGAAGAATGAAAGAAAGCTAATGTCATTCACTTTTAAGAAGTGTGGTAGGGAATTACAGACCAGTGAGTTCCATATTAATAGTCGGAATACTACTAGACAAAATTCTGAAGGTGGGAACTAATCTCCACTTGGAAAGGCAAGGCCTGATCAGGGATAGTCGGCATGGTTTTATCAGAGGGAGGTCATGCCTAACAAATTTGACTGAATTTCTCAAGGTGGTGATCAGTTGCATAAATGAGGGTAGTGCAATTAATGTAGTTTATATGGATTTCAACAGAACTTTTGACAAGGTCCCACAAAGAAGACTGATAAAAGCAAGAGTGAAAGTAAAAGCACATGGGACCCAGGCTAACTTGGCAAGATCCAAACTTTGCATATTGACAAGAGACAGAGGGTGATAATAGAAAGCTGTTAGTATTACTGGAGGCTGGTGTCCAATGGCATTCCATAGTGATCAGTGCTGGTACATAATTGTGATATTTTTAAAAGATGTAGATGAGAATGTAGAGATATATAAGTAACTTTGGAGATGACTGCCAGGCGCTTAATAGTGAGAAATATAATCTGAGGTTACAGGAAGAGAGAGATGGATTGGTCAGTGGCAGATAGAATTTAACCCTGAAAAGTATGAAGTGGAAGAAGTAACAAGACAAGGGAGTATTCAATGAGTAGCAGGACAATCAGAAGCTCAGAACAACAGATGGTTCTTGGGGTGCTTGTCCACGAGTCTTAAAAGGTGGCAGGACAGGTCAATAGGGTACTTAGAAGGCATACAAGACTCTTTTATAAGATTACAAGAGCAGCAAGGTTATGTTGGGCCTGTGCAGAACTTTGTTTGGGCGACAGCTGGAGTACTGCATACAGTTCTGGTCGCCGCAATACAGAAAGAAAGTGACTGCAATGGAAGGGGTGTAGAGGAGGTTCATCACAATTTTGCCCGGGTTGGAGCAGCTTAGCTATGAAGACAGGCTGGATACGCTCAATCGTTTCCTTTAAAGCAGAAAAGGTTGAGAGGGGACCTGACTGAGGTGTATAAGATTGTGAAGAACATGAACAGAGCGGATAGGAAACAGTTGTTCCCTTTAGTTGAAGTTTCAACAACGAGGGGCGTAATTTTATGGTGAAAGTGGGAGGTTCAGTGGGTATTTGAGGAAGTTTTCTTTTTCACTCACAGTGTGGTGGGGAGCCTGAAATGCTTTGTCTGGGTCAGGTATTAGACATAGGAAACCTCACAAATTTGAAAATTACTTGGAAGAACACTTGATATGACACAAAATTGAAGGCTATAGGACAAGTACTGGAAAGTGGGATTAGTGTGGAAAGGTCAACACAGACTTGATGGGCCAAAGGGCCTCTTCAGTGCTGCATCACTCTATGACTCTACGACTTAAGGAATGGAATTGTCTGCAAATCTCGTCTCCCTAGCTCTCCTTCTATGCACGTATGCATAAACACATAACTTGTTAAGGACAACACTACTGAATCTCAGATGCTCAGATCTAGCCATTTTCACTGTCATAGAGTTGTACAACATGAAGACAGACCCTTCGGTCCAACTCATCCATGCTGACCAGGTTTCCCAAACTAAACTAGTCCCATTTGCCTGTGTTTGGCTCATATCCACCTAAACTTTTCCTATTCATGTACCTGTCCAAATGTCTTTTAAATGTTGCAACTGTACATGCCTCTACCACATCTTCTGGCAGTTCATTCCATACATGTATCACCCGCTGTGTGAACAAGTTACCCCTGAGGTCCCTTTTAAATCTTTCCCCTCACCTTAAACCTATGCCCTCTGGATTTGAACTCCCCTACCCAGGGGAAAAGACCTTTGCTATTCACCTTATCTATGTTCTCATGATTTTATAAACATCTATAAGGTGTTCAACATCCTACACACCAGTGAAAAAAAGTCCCAGCCTATCCAGCCTTTCCTTATAACTCAAACCCTCCAGTCCCGGTAACATGCTTATAAATCTTTTCTGCACCCTTTCCAATTTAATAACATCCTTCCTCTCGTGGGTTGACAAGAACTGTATGCAGTACTCAAAAAGTGGCTTCATTAATGTCCTGTACAGTTGCAACATGATGTCCTAACTCTTATATTCAGTGCTGTGGCTAATGAAGACAAACATGCCAAATGCCACCTTCACCAGCTTATTTACCCGTGAATCCACTTTCAAGGAACTGGGTTCAACTCCACCCTCAGGTGACTGTGTGAAGTTTGCTTGTTCTCTTTCGTGGGTTTCATCGAGGTGCTCCGGTTTCCTCCCACAGTCCAAAGATGTTCAGGTTGGGTGGGTTAGCCATGCTAAATTATCTGTAGTGTCCAGAAATGTGCAGGCTATGTGGGTTAGCTAAGGGAAATGCACCGTTACAGGGATAGAGTAGAGGTGTGGGTCTGGGTGGCATTATCTTCAGAGGATCAATGTGGATTATATGGGCTGTATGGCCTGCTTCCATACTGTAGGGATTTTTTGATTAACTGTATAAGTCTTGCCCTGGTTTGTCTACCAAAATACAACACCTCGCATTTATCTAAATTAAATTCCATCTTCCATTCCTTGGCCCGATGGCTCAGCTGATCAAGATCCAATTGTACTCTGAAATAACCTTCTTCACTGTCCACTCCATCACCAATTTTGAAGTCATTCTCAGATTTACTAATTATGCTTCCTATATTTTCATCTAAATTGTTTATATAATGACAAACAACAGTGGATCCAGCACCAACCCCTGCAGAAAACCACTGGTCACAGGCCTCCAAAAAACAACCCTCCACCACCACCCTTTGTCTCCTTACTGTGAAGCCAATTTTGTATCCAATTGGCTAGTTCTTCCTGGACCCCATTTGATGTAACTTTACTAACCAGTCTACTATGAAGAGCCTTGTTTAAGGCCTTGCTAAAGTCCATGTAGACAATGTCTACCACTCAGCGTTCATCTATAATCTTAGTTATATCCACAAAAATGTCACTCAAGTTTGTGAGACATGATTTCCCACACACAAAGCTGTGATGACTATCCCTAATCAATGCTTGCCTCTCCAAATGGATGTAAATCCTGCCTCTCAGAATTCCCTCCAACAATGTACCAGCACTAACATCAGATTCACAGGTCTATAGTTCCCTGGCTTTCCATTACAGCCTTTCTTAAATAAAGGCACAACATTAGCTGCTCTAGAGTCTCCTGGCATCTCACCCATGGCAGTAGATGATACGAATATCTCTGTACTTAACTTGTGTGGTTTCTGTCATAGAACCCCTACAGTATGGAAGCAGGCCATTCTGCCCATTGAGTCCACACTGACCCTCTGAAAAGCATTCCACCCAGACCCACCCTGTTACCATATCTCTGTAATCCTGCATTTCCCATGGCTAATACACTTAGACACTATGAACACTTTAGCATGGCCACTCTACCTAAGCTGCATTCCTTTGAACTATGGGAGGAAACCTACGCAGACATGGGGAGAAAGTGCAAACTTGTATGCCACACCCGAGGATGGAATTGAACCTAGGTCCCTGGTACTGTGAGGCAACAGTGCCAACCACCACGAACCACCATGCTGACCCGAACTGTTTGCGAATGAAATTGGTGAAAGGTTAGCAACCAGGGCTGCCAGCTGTGAATTATGAAATGTGAGGTGTTCGATATGTTGATGTTTAGACTCAAAAAGTTCACAAAAGATTCTATCTCAGAGGAAGCAGGTCAACTAAACTCAATGTTTTACACACAGCGCCAATTCGTTTGGCATGCTGCTAAACAGAGTATACAAGCAACATTTAAAATATGTAGTACTGCTACTCTGTCAGATACTGTCTCAATACACCCTTCAGTAACTGACCTGAGACAGCATATTAGAATTGTGTCTGCACGGTTAGACAGGGGAAGGTCAGGAAGAATAGAGACAGGAAATTGGTAACGTGGTTTTTTCCAAAGGAGGATTTGAATAAAACAAAGAAACAGGGAAGAATTGAAGTCAAGAAATTGATGTTTATCAAGGACATCAAGGAGGGTGAGCTCATTGTTCATCGGTGAGGAAGGCAGTTATACTTCATTGTCTGGAGGTGTATCATTGATCGTTAGAGATGATCTCATTTTGTTTTGAGAGATGTCAGTGAGGCGATATACAGTTTTCATCCATTCTAAATGGATATACTATTTGAATTGTACTACATTATATATACTGCAGTCCAACTCCTTATTTTAATCCCTTTATATCATCAATTTACTTCACTCCCTCTAATAGTTATACTATGTTCTCCTTTCTAGAATATCAGCCAGTGAGATGAGGATTCTGCTGCTCCTTTTGGGTTATCTGAGTGAGTAATTTTGATTAGAGACAACATCAATATAATAAGAGGACAAAGCCATACAACATGTTTCACATAGACCTGATTCAGTCAATGGCTGACGTAATAGAGAATGAATAAAAATAAACGACTGCGCATGCTGGAAATCTGAAACAAAAACAAAGTTCCAAAATGTCAGCTTTCCTGCTCCTCTGATGCTGCTTGGCCTGCTGTGTTCATCCAGCTCTACACCTTGTTATCTTAGATTCTCCAGCATCTGCAGTTCCCACTATCTCTGGAGAAAAGCAGCAGGTTTGGCAGCATCTGTAAGGAGAGAGAGAGACAAAGTTAATGTTTTGAGTCTGATATGACTGATTTTTGATATTTGTAAATTCACTTTCTTTCACTGTGTTATTCAATTATCACACTCCCATTATTTCCTCATATTTTTCTTGATATCTATATGACATAGCCGTGTTCTCAATCTTCATATTTATCACAAATGTTAAGGAATGTGTACCTATCTGTGAATTCAGACAGCAATGTCTCTATAATATTAAAATATTCTGTCATCAGTATAACCACAGTTATTTATTCTTTCATGGGAAAGACGAGCATTTGTTGCCAATTGCTAATTATCCTCAGACTGTAAGGCTATTAGACAATTTCAGAGGGTAAGTAAGAGTCAATTACAATACTGTAACTCATATCTTAGACCAGTCGAGTTAAACTGCCTTCTTTAAAGGCATGTGTAAACTGGACTGAAAGCAACAAATGCTGGAGATCACAGCAGGTCAGGCAGCATCCATAGCAGGACAGCAAATTAACATTTTGACTAAACCGGATGTGTTTTTAATGACAGTATTATGGACACCGTTAAAGCTTTTAATGTCAGATTAATTTAATACATGAATTCCCAGAATATTAGCCTTGTATTCTGTATTAATAATCAACTGGTACTACTGTTATGCCATCAAGTACATCAGAATTAAAAACTTCCAACAATTAAGTATCTTTTACAGATAATTATTTCTGATTAAATATTAGAAGACTGGAGACTAATTGGAGACTAATACCATAAAGTTAAAGACAAAAGCAGCAACTTGGAATCATAACAGCATAAGACATAGCAGCAATCATATGCCATTTGGCCCATCAAATCTTCTCCACCATTCAATGATGTCATATCTGACCTGATAATCCTGAACTCCACTTCTCTGCCTTTTCCCCAGAACCATTGATTCCCGTACAGATTAAAAATATGAGTATTTCAGTCTTGATTATAGGAAATACTGGAAAAAGACAGCAGGTCTGGCAGAATATAGCATTTTGACTTTGATATAAATCTTTATCAGGACCTGCCTCTGGCTTCTGTTGAAGTTACATTGGACTCAATACGTTAACTCTGTTTCAGTCCACATTGATGCTTCCAGACCTGATGAGTTCGTCTAGCGTTTTCTGAGCCTCTTTCTTTCACATTTCTAGCATGTGCAGTATTTTGCTTCTGTTAGCATTGAATATACTCAACAAGTCAGCCTCAGTAATCTGCTGCAGTAAGGAATTCCAGAGAGTCACTATGCTATGTGAAAACAAAACAATAATCTTTTTTCCTTAAATAGGTGACCTCCTTACTCTGCGATTATACCTTCTGGTCCTAGACTCTCCTGGAATGTGAAATAATCTAGAAGCAGGAATAGGCAATGCATCAACTCGAGCCTGCTCCACCATTTGATATGATCATGGCTAATTTCATTTTAACCTCGACTCCACTTTTCTGCCTACTGTCCATACCCCATCAAACTATTACTCAGTAAAATGAGTCTCTTCCTCCTTAAATGTACTCAATGTTCCAATATCCAAAACACTCTGGGGTAGTGAATTCCACAGATTCATAGCCCAGTAAGAGAAGTAATTTCTTCTCATCTCTGTTTTAAATCTGCTACTCCTTATGCTAAAACCATGATCTCTCACACAAGGGGAATCATCTGCTCTATGTCAACTTTGTCAATCCCCTTTAGCATCTTATATACTTCAACTAGATCTCCTGTCACTATCCTAAACACCAGAGAGTATACACAGGGAGGAAGGATGGTTTGGGGCCTTGGATGGAGGGGACAGGGGAGGTGTAAGGGCAGGTGTAGCACCTCCTGTGGTTGCAGGGAAAGGTATCAGGTGTGGTGGAGGGATTGGTGGGGAATCTGGAGCTGAAAAGGGAATAGCGCAGCTGTATCAGAGAGAACAACCACAGACTCGGGGACCGGTTTGCAGGGCATCTGTATTCTGCACGCACTAACCAACCCAACCTTCCAGTTGTCATCCACTTCAACTGCACCCCCCCCCCCCCCCCACCCCCGCCACTACCCTGATGACATGTCTGTCCTTGGCCTCCTCCACTGTCAGAGTGAGGCCACATATAAACTGGAGGAACAACATCTCATATTTCACCTTGGGAGCTTACAGCCCAATAGACTGAATATTGACTTCACCAGTTTCAAAATCTCTCCTCTCCCAGCCTGTCCATCTTCCGACTAACCTATCTGCTACACCCTTCCCATTGACCAACCACAATAACCCCCTACCTGCATCCACCTTTCTCTATCTCACCTACCATGCCCCTAGACCCAACACCTCCCTCTATTTCTAGGCTCCACCACCACCAACCCCCCTCAAGTCTTGATGAGGATTGACTTTCCTACTCCTCGGATGCTGTCTGACCTGCTGTGTTTTTCCAGCTCCACATTTATTGACCTGAGAGTATAGGCTTAAACTGCTAAATCTTTCTTCATAAGACAAACACTTCATCCCTGGAATCTGTCGTGAACCTCTTCTGAACTGCATCCAGTACAATTACATTCCTACTCAAGAGCATGGTGGCTCAGTGGTTAGCACTGCTGCCTCACAGCGCCAGGGTTTGATTCCAGCCTCAGGTGACTGTGTGGAGTTTGTATATTCTCCCCGTGTCTGCGTGGGTTTCCTCCAGGTGCTCCGGTTTCCTTCCACAGTCCAAAGATGTGCAGGCTAGGTGCATTGGCCATGCTAAATTGCCCATAGTGCCCAGGGATGTTTAGGTTAGGTGGGTTAGACATGGGAAATATAGGGGAATGGGTCTGGGTGGGATGCTCTTCGGAGGGGCGGTGTGGACTTGTTGGGCTGAGTGGCCTGTTTCCACACTGTAGGGATTCTATAAAAATAGAACCAAAGTGTATGCAAAGAAGCAAACTCAATAATGCCTGTACAATTACAGTAATACCTCACTACTTTAATACTCTATTCCTTTTACAATAAATGCCAAAATTCCACTTGACTGCCTTATTACCTGCATACTAGTTTTCTGTGATTTATTCACGAGGACTTCCCTGCACCAAATCTTTCTGAAGTTTTCCTTCAATTAGATAATAACTTGCCATTATATTCCTCTGTCATTATATTCTGACCAAAATGGGTAACCTCTGACTTATCCACATTAAACTCTGCCTGCAAAACTTAGGTCTTTTCACCTAACCTATCCATATCCAGTTGTAATTTTCTTATTTCTACATTGCAACTTACTTTCCCACCTATTTTACTGTCATCTGCAAATTTGGCTAAAGTACTTTCTACCCTTTATATAATTATATTAAAAAGTAAATATCTTTGTGCCATTTAGTTGCAGACTCAGCACTCACTGACCCCTGTGTGAATTACACAACCTTGAACCAGTCCTGGAGGAGTATTGATTGTACTGAGACTGAATGCTCTGGCCAGTTGATGTGTGACAACGTTCTCAGCGCCGGATGGTATAAATTTCAAAGGTGAAATTAAGTTCCAGATAGATACCAGTAATTATCAGATGGTTAACAGTTTCTGCCGGGACCTAAATTTCTCACAGTTACTAAGTGTCAGGAGCTGGCTCTCTACTTGTCATTCCAGTTCTGGTGGATGGAGAATTCCGGATACTGTAGTCACGGGGAGGCAATGTTCCACACGTGCCACAGGCTGGTTACAAGGTATGATCAGACTTCATCAGATCAGAATTCTATTCACTGGCCTGTGTGGTTCACACTAATTAAATGCTCAAACGTTTCTAAACCACATTTTCAGGCTCACATCCCACCGTTGAACAGGGAGAAGTAACGAGAAAAGCTTGTTTTAACTTGGATGGAAATCGCTGCCACTGGAATCGGGAGATAAAGATCAAGAACTGTTCGAACTATTTTGTTTATTGGTTACAGCCGACCCCTAACTGTGACGCTGCTTATTGCACGGGTACGTTGACTTTTTACAATGCTTCAGATCCTTCCCTAACTACCAAATTAAACCAGAACGTTACACGCTCTCCTTCTATTTGTATGTCACACAAGACAGTTATGACTTGAAACACATTGTAAACTTTTCATTCAAATCAAAGAGACATGGATGCAGTATCTTTTGTTACCAGGACAATACTTAACATCATGTGGGGGTCCCGGAAAGGGTCAGCTTTCCTGCTCCTCTGAAGCTGCCTGGCCTGCTGTGTTCTTCCAGCTCCACACCTTGTTATCACTTAACATCATGTAGTATTTCTGAGAATGTCCCGAGGAAAAGGGTCTTAATGGACATGAATTAGTGCAGGAAAACCTGAACATAGGAATGGGAGTAGGCCATTCACCCCTTTGAGCCTGTTCTGTCATTCAGTGAGATCATGACTCTTCTGTGGCCTAACTCCATATACCTGCCTTTAGCTTGTATCCCTTAATACCTTTGCTTAACAAAACAAAATCTATCTTGGATTTATTATTAACAACTGATCTAGCATCCATTGCTATTTGTGAAAGTTTTTAAAAAATCCCACCCTTTATGTGTAGAAGCGCTTCCTATCATCTCTCCTGAAGACCTAGCCCTAATTCTCAGGCTATGTCCCTAATTCTTGAATCACCAACTAGTGGAAATAGTTTATCTTTGTCTACCCTATCTTTTCCTATTAATATCTTGAAGAATTTGATCAAATCACCCCTTAAGTTTATAAATTCTGGAGAAAACAGGCCTTATTTGTATAATCCGTTGTCATAACTTAGCTTCTGAAGCCTAGGTACCATTCTTGTAAGCCTACGTTGTCCTCTCTCCAAGGCCAATACATCCTTCCTAAGATGTGGTGCCCAGATCTGCTCACAGTACTCCAAACTGAGTCTAACCAGGGCTTTTTACAGCTGCAGAATAACTTCTGCATCCTTATACTGCAGTCCTCCAGATTTAAAGACCAGCACCCAATTGGTTTTCTGGATTATTTTCTGCACGTGTTCATGGCATTTTAAAAATTGATGCACCTCAACCCCCAAGTCTCTTTGGGTATCTACTCCATTTAACTTCACACAAGAAAGGACCCTGATCTATCCTTTCTCTTTGCTGTGACTATTTGAACGCAGATTTCCTTCCCTAAAGGACATAAGCAAACCAGAAATTTCAACATCTGCCAAATGAATTTGAACTCATTTGCCCAGAACATTAGCCTGGGGTTGCAGAATCCAGGCATTCTGGCCCAGTCATCAATTGAGAGTCATAGAATCATAGAGTCCTTCAGCATGGAGACAGGTCCTTTGGCCCAAGCTGGTTCACGCTGACCAAAATGTCCATCCACGCTAACCCCATTTCCCTGCACTTGCCTATCTCCTTCTAAACCTTTCCTATTCATGTATTCGTCCAAATGCCTTTTAAATGTTGTTAATGTACCTGCCTCAACCACTTCTGCTGGCAGATCATTCCATATGCATACCACACTCTGTGTAAAAAGAGTTGCCCCTCAGGTTCCCATGTATTCTTTCCCCTCTTACCATAAACTGATGCCCTCTAGTCCTTGATTCCCAACCCTGGGAAAAAGACTGAGATTATAATGTAAAACTGAAAAGTTTGAAATTTAATGGGTGAGGGGAAATGTGTTGTATAGACTGAAACGAGTCAGATGAAGTGACTGGATGTAGAGACAGATGGGAAGGGTTGTATGTCGAAGTTGAAGGAAGTCAGATTTGCTGACTCAAAGAGTGTGATGCAGTGTGTGAGTGAAGTGGGAAATTATGACCAAGTGAAGTGATGCAATAACTGAGTAGAATGAGAGAACTCTGTTTTTTAATGATTGAGTGGTGTGATGTGTAGCTGCAGAGGGGAGTTGGATATTTTGTGAAAGGGGACTAGGATCTACATAATGAGGAGCGAAGTATAAAGCAACTTACTTAAGGATATAATAACTGAAGGCAGTGGAATGCAGTGAAGATGGATCAAGATTTGCAACCTACAGGATGGATATACTGAGGGAAGAGGAAAATAATGATTGCTCTATTTGGCTGCAGTGACTGGGATGATGGGATTTAATTACAGCATGGATGCAGAGGCATAGGATACTGTTAGTGACTGAAGTGGAATCCAAGAACTCAGAGTGAATGATTTAGCAACTAAAACAATTGTGGAAATGTAAAACAGCCTATGCTAATACTTGAAATGAAACCAGGAAATGTTGTAAATACTCAACAAATCATGAAAATAATGCAGTCCACTGTGAAAAAGAATACAGTTGCTGAAATGTTTTGAATCAATATGTGTTTTCAGGTGAAATCAAAGACAAAGTTTTGCATTACCTACCCAGTTCACTTTGTCTAGGTTCTAAACAAAGCTGCAATAAGTTTTGAACCTGAGAACTGAATGTGAGTGTCAGTGAGCAGGTTCTTTCTGATTAAAGCTGTGGGCTGCACCTTCCCTTGCTTTGCTGAGGCCTTTAAAAAAAATTCTCATGATATCTGGGCATCTCTGGCTTAGACCAATATTTATTGCCCATCCCTAGATGCCCTTGTGAAGTTGTGGTGTACTGCCTTCTTGAACCTCTGCAATCCATGTGCCACAACTAGACCCACAATGTTCTTGGAGTTGGAGATCAGGATTTTGACCAGTGAAGGTTCCTCATGGTAGACTAGTTAGTAAGGTTAGATCACACGGAATGGATAGCTACTTGGATACAGAACTGGCTCGAAGATAGAAGACGGAGGGTGGTGGTGGAGGGTTGCTTTTCAGACTGGAAGCCTGTGACCAGCAGTGTACCACAAGGATTGGTGCTGGGTCCACTGCTTTTTGCCATTTATATAAATGATTTGGATGTGAACATAGGTTGTCTGGTTAATAAGTTTGCAGATGACACCAAAACTGGAGGTGTAGGAGACAGCAAAGAAGGTTACCTCAGAGTACAATGGGATCTTGATCAGATAGGCCAAAGGGCTGAGGAATGGCAGATGGAGTTCAATTTAGATAAATATGAGGTGCTGCATTTTGGAAAGGCAAATCAGGGCAGGATTTATACACTACATGATAAGGTCCTGGGGAGTGTTGTTGAACAAAGAGACCTTGGAGTGCAGGATCATAGTTCCTTGAAGGTGGAGTCAAAGGTAGATAGGATAGCAAAGAAGGCGTTTGGTATGCTTGCCTTTATTGGCCAGTGCATTGAGTATAGGAGTTGGGAGGTTATGTTGCGGCAATACAGTACATTGGTCAGGCCACCGTGTGCAGTTCTGGTCTCTTTGCTGTACGAAGGATGTTGTGAAACTTGAAAGTGTTCAGAAAAGATTTATAAAGATATTGCCAGGGCTGGAGGGTTGAGCTATCGGGAGGGGTAGAACAGACTGGGGCTATTTTCCCTGGAGCGTTGGACGCTGAGGAGTGACGTTATAGAGGTTTATAAAATCATGAGGGATCACGGATAGGGTAAACAGGCAAAGTCTTTTTCCGGGGTGGGGGAGCCCAAAGTTAGAGGGCATAGGTTCAAGGTGTGAGGGGAAAGATTTAAAAGGGACCTAAGGGCAATGTTTTCACACAGAGGGTGGAGCATGTATGGAATGAGCTGCCAGAAGAAGTGGTGGAGGCTGGTACAATTATAGCATTTAAAAGGTGGATACATGTGGCAGTTATAGCACAGAGACAGACCCTTCAGTCCAACTCCTCCGCGCCGACCAGACATCCAATCTAATGTAGTCCCATTTGCCAGCATTTGGCCCATATTCTTCCAAACTCTTCATATTCATCTATTCATCCAGACTCCTTTTAAATGTAATTTTACCCAACTCCATCACTTGCTGTGCCAGCTTGTTCCATGCATGCACCAGAAGGCATTTGTCATACTTGCCTGTAGGGGTCAAGGCATGGGGTATAAAAATTGTTAATCATGTTGCAGCTTTAGTTTGGCCAGATTTGAAATATTGTGTACAGTTCTGGTCGCCACACTACCAGAAGACGTGGAAGCTTTGGAGAGCATACAGAATCGGTTTCCCAGAAAGTTGGTTGGTTTGGAAGGTACGAGAAGAGATTGGACAAACTTGGTTTATTTTCACTTGAATGTCAGAAGTTGAGCGACAACCTGATAGAAGTTTCCAAAATTATGAGAGGTATGTATAGATTAGATAGTTGGAATCTTTCTTCCTCAGGGTGGAAATGTCAGTTACAAAGGGACATAGTTTTAAGGTAAAAGGGGATAAGTTTAAAGCAGATGTGGGAGGCAGACGTTTTACACAGAGGGTGGTAAGTGCTCGGAATGTGCTTCCAGGGAAGCTGATCAAAGCAGATACAATAGTAACATTTAAGATGCATCTTGACAGATACATGAGCAGGCAGGGAACAGAAGGATGCAGATCACACAGAGGCAAAGATTTTTTAGTTTGGAAAGGCATCATGTGTTGGCTCAGGGGCCTGTTCCTGTACTGTACAATTCTTTATTCATGGGATGTGTGCATGCTGCCTGGCCACATTTATTGCGCATCCCTACTGCCTTTGAGAAGGTGGTAGTGAGCTGCCTTCTTCAGCCACTGCAGCCTGCATGCTGTAGATTGACCCACAATGCCATTAGGGAGGGAATTCTGAGATTTTCACCTACTAACAGTGAAGGAGTGGTGATATATTTCCAAGGCATTAGAGTGAATGGCTTGGAGGGGAACTTGCAGGTGCTGATGGAAGTGGTCATTGGTTTGAAAGACACTGTCAAAGGATCTGCAGTGCATCTGGTAGATAGTGCACACTGCTGCTGTTGACCCTTGGTGGTGGAGGAGTGGATGCTGGTGAATTTTGTGCAAATGAAGTAGTCTGCTCAGTCCTGGATCCTTGGCTTAGAGTTATACTCATAGAGTCATACAGTGCAGAAAAGGCCTGTTGAGTCTGCACTGACATAACCACCACTAAAAACAACAAATGCTGGAGATCATAGTGGGCCAGACAGCATCCATGGAGAGAGAGCAAGCTAACATTTCGAGTCTAGAAGATTC